TCGAACCAACCGGGTGGTATCCATGGGTTATTACCCATCAGGGCTGAAGACCCATTCTTTTCCTTTTTGGTCCTGACCTGCCCGCTTTTCTCTTCGCCTAGCGGTCCGCTCTGTTCTTGCCCAAGTCATTGTCGTGGATCCTTCTTTTGGGGATTGAATTGGTTCGGGCCTAGACCCCGGAGGCCAAATACCTCATCAAGCTGTAAAATAGATTTCTGAATAGAAAATGTAAGTATTTTATGTAAAGAATTAAAAATGAAAATAAAATAGAGGAAGTAAAATATATCAGTATAAATACTAATACCAATGGTCAAAGTGTTAGACTATAAAATATATGTCAAATATGAAGATTAAGACCATGTTTTCTTCACCTGATCTGAATGATTTTGTTTTGATTGGAATAAATTTTGATATGAATGTAGTTATATTTAAAGTTTTTTCTGGTCTAGTCTGATCTGAACTGATTCTAATAAGAAAAGTAATAAGTAATAAGAATAAGTTGAAGAGAACAAGGCCTAAATTTAGACAGAGAGAGTATTAATGTAAAATTTAAAAATAAAATTTATATATTAAAAATTGCGCGGAGTAAAAGAATTACTCATCCCGTCTCAATTTTGATTAAAATTTTTTTCTCTCACCTCTTGATAACTTTTGTTTATTTCTGTATTTCATTGATTATTTGATAAAACAAAATATTCCTGTTATCTCTTGTTTTATAGAATTTTTGACGTAAACTTTTAATATGCACTATGTATTTTTTTTATTGATGTATTTATTTATAAATAAAGATTGGGACGGACGGAGTATATTGACCATAAGAAACCTCTCTGTGGGTAAGATACAAGTATAGAGAGATTATGTTTTTGGCAAATTCTTTCGTAGACTTTAGATCCATGCTCATCTTATAAAATTTAATGCATTTGTAGCATAAAAGAAGTGTGTCTTTTGTAAAATATAAAATATCCTCGTATAAATCTATAAAAAATATGAGAAGATTCACATTTTAAATATAAATGGTCTAACTACTGTTTTTGGAAATGAAACAAGTCATTGGCTAGGTTGAAAAGTAACGGCTTTCATGTGCTCTATCATCATTCAATTCCACTCTAATTTTCTTTTCTTTGCTTCAAAGCGCATTCATCTCCCCACACGAACTTCTCCTGTTCTCCCACCACTTATATTTACAGTTGAACTTGGAGCCTATTATATATATATCATCCCATTCCCATTTACTTAATTCAAACCATCAACTCTGCTATGGACTTTCCCAGAAATCCCAAACCTAACCAAGTAAACTATTTCCCCAGAATAAAGCTCTAATTCCACCTTTTCATAACTCGATTTCTGGAAAAATACTAATCTTTTTGTTTGAATTCTCTTTTTTTTTTTTTTTTTTTTTTACAGAGAATTGGGAGACTCGGTGAATTGGTGATTTTATTGGTTCTGGTGAGCTGTTCAAATGGGGTTTGTGGGCACAGAGGGGTTCACGGGTCGCACAGGTTCAAGTACTCTGCCATAACCAGCTGTAGGTCCCACACGGCGGCGCTGACGGACTTCGGGGGAGTTGGCGACGGAGTCACGCTGAACACCGCCGCTTTCCGGGCGGCTGTGGACCACCTCGCCGGGTTCGGGCCGGAGGCTGGTGGGTCTTTGCTGTATGTGCCTCCGGGGAGGTGGCTCACCGGCAGCTTCAATCTCACCAGCCATTTCACCCTGTTTCTTGACCAGAACGCCGTCATTCTTGCTTCTCAGGTTCCCCTGTTTCTTGAAATAACTAAGCAATCAATTAAATTCAATATTTTCTCATCATCTTTTTGCTCGAGAGAAAAAAACAGTTTGGAATGTTTGGAAAGTTCTGATCTTCAGCTTTTTATATATACGGAGAAAGCAAAAACTTGAGAAGTTGTCAAAATCATAAGTTCAAAACAATCACTTTTTTAAAACATTAAGCATGAGAAAACACTCTCAAAGCAGGTGTTCAAAATAGTTTTATTGTTGGTTGAGTGAGATATGGTTCGAGTCATTTGAAAAAGGAAAAGATTGGCCTATTAAATTATGAGCTGAAGTGATTAATTGGATAGTAGATTTAATATTAAAAATGCAATTTGTAAAAAAAAGGATGAACCCCATCCCGAGGGCTCCCTCAGACCCGGCCGGACGGTCACTGAGAGGAGGTAAATTGGTCTTTAATCGCAGATTGGTGGCAAAGAGTGGAGCCTGCACCTGGTACTTGTAGAGGTCCTATGCTTAGCATAGTTGTCTCCCAGCGCAGTTGTCAGGAATTGAAATCGGGTCTTACCCCCTTGACACCCCTTGTCTTGCCAACTGCGCAACGCCCACCGATTAAAATGCAATTTGTAGTGAGTATGGTATGATAGAGTCAAGGTGACCTAACTCACTTTTAAGTTGTATATATTGTGTCTCCATGGAAGCAAAGTCATAGTCATCAAGATTTGGTGAAACATCACAAAGTTAAAACCAAAGCAACTGTCTTAAAATATTGTTGAGATTGCTGAGTATGTGGTAGGCCAGCTAAAAGTGGGAAACTTTCATGAGAATGGCTCTCTATTTTCAACTTTTTTTTAAAAAAAAAATTGTTCATCATAGTATTCCCTTTGTAGTGGATGTGATAGGTAGATTATTTGTCAAGGGTCACAATTTTGGTATGTGGTCTAGAAGTATTCTATTACTTCTTCCGTCCCACAAAGTCTTTCCTGTTTTGATTTTTATGTAATTTAAGATAGAGATGTTTTTTGTTGACTTTCCCAAATTACCCTTGATATGATGGGTAGATTATTTGTGAATATGTATAATGTCATACGTAGAGTAAAAATTAGTACTCGTAGAAAAGAATTGTGGGACATAGAACAATAGAAAAGAGAAAAAGCTTGTGGGACGGCGGGAGCATATTAATTGGTCAAATTTGATGAATGCATCATATGAATTACAAATTTACAATAAAGCTAGGGCAACCCCAAAAGGGTGTCATGATCTCATATTTCACACATACCCTACAGACAAGACATTAAAGGTCTGTATGGTCTGTGCGAAACATGAGGTCATGCTTGGGATCACCCTCTTGGATCACCTTCTAGGAATTCTAAGTCATAACATAGACTTAGAGCAACTATGGTAGAGGTAAATTTGACTGAAAAGACATGAGCTGAATGTCACTAATGGCTATATTGCCCAACTTGTCTATTTAAATGTAGCTAGACCCTTTACTCTTGATATGCTAAGGGGGCAAATACACATTTCCATTTCTCTATCATTTACAGTGGATTTAGCATCCATCAATGCCATTGGAATGTTGGAGCCGATTTCAGTTATCTAAAAATGTTCAGAGTATTCTCTTAGTTTGGATTTAATATGTAATAAACGAAAAAAACAATTCACGAAAAATACGAGGGTAGAAGTGTCATTTACTTCCAATGGGGACAAAAAGTCATTTTTTTGACATTTTTTTTAGTTTTGGGAGAATACAGATGAGTGATCAAATAGTGGATATGAAGGCTTTGCTTAACAATTTTATTTCTTGTGTTTACTAAATATCAGGACGAGAACGATTATCCCGTGATCGAACCGTTGCCATCCTATGGACGAGGAAGGGACACCGCCGCAGGGCGTTTCATCAGTCTCATCTTCGGAACCAACCTCACCGATGTCGTCATTACCGGTACAATAACCCTCAAAACTTCATGATATGATTAATGAAGTCCCAAACCCTAAATAATTGAATCTTTACAACTGTTGATTTTTGTTTAAAAAATTAATTATCAGGAAACAATGGAACTATTGATGGGCAGGGGGAAATGTGGTGGGACAAATTTCACAAAGGGGAGCTGAAGTATACCAGACCTTACCTCATTGAGATAATGTACTCTAACAATGTCCAAATATCCAACCTCACACTCGTGGATTCCCCGTCCTGGAACGTTCATCCCGTGTACAGTAGGTCCGTTCATTTTTCTTTTGCTGTTCAAGCTTGCAGTTGTAGGCCCAGGAAACGTTTTACTCCGTGTGTGTGTGTGTGTGTACTCTGAAAGGTTCTGAACTTTCCTGCAGTGATATTATTATCCAATGGATCACCATTCTTGCTCCTACAAGATCTCCAAATACAGATGGAATCAACCCAGGCAAGTACATTTGTTACATACTGTATGACTCTTTTTTTTTTTGGGATGATGAAGTATTGATGATGATAACAAACAAAACTGCCTGATTATGTTAGATTCTTGTACAAACACGAGGATTCAAGACTGTTACATTGTCTCCGGAGACGATTGCATTGCGGTGAAGAGCGGGTGGGACGAGTACGGGATTTCGTACGGGATGCCAACCAAACAGCTCCTTATCCGGCGGGTGACTTGCGTTTCTCCGACCAGCGCCGCGATCGCGCTGGGCAGCGAGATGTCGGGCGGGATCGAGGATGTTCGGGCAGAGGACATCGTGGCGATCGACACGGAATCCGCGGTTAGGATCAAGACGGCAGTCGGGCGGGGGGCGTACGTGAAGGGCATTTACGTCAGGCGGGTGACCATGAGAACGATGAAGTATGTGTTCTGGATGACGGGCGACTACGGGTCCCACCCGGACAATAACTACGACCCGAACGCCCTTCCGGTGATCGACAACATAAACTACCGAGACATGGTGGCGGAGAATGTGACAATGGCGGCTCGGCTGGAGGGGATCTCGGGGGACCCGTTCACCGGAATCTGCATATCCAACGTGACCATTGGATTGGCAGACCATGCAAAGAAGGTTCAGTGGAATTGCACAGACATTTCTGGGATTTCCAGTGGTGTGGTTCCTCAGGCTTGTGGGCTTTTGCCAGACATGGGACAAGAACAGATGTCAGCTTGTGATTTTCCAACCCAATGCCTACCTATTGAGAATGTTAAACTTAAGATGTGTGGGTACAGAAGGAAAACAGTGATGTACTAAGATCAAGATGCCATGTAGTAAAAGATATCTGATATTTATAATTTAGCAGCTTTTTAAACACATAATCTTTCTTTAATTCATCAAACTTTTCATTGAGAACTAAAAACCTCAAAGGAGACTTTTTCCCCAAGATCTCTCATGTGATCTGCCAAAACTTCCATAACCGGAACGATCTCATTCAACTGTGCAAACGAGCTGTCTTCTGCTCTAAAATAATGAACCTCATTCCTTATCTCAATCCAACTATACCCGGGATCAATCTTAAGGGACTTGTTTTTCATCTCTTTTCATACTCTGGCAGCTTGATCCCATAACCCAATACTTGCATATAGATTTGCCAACTGCAAGTGCGTAGCAGTGGACCCCGGTTCGAGCACCAGCCTATTCTCAGCAGCCTCAATCCCCACCTCCACATTTCCATGAATCCTACTGGACATGAGCAATGAACCCCATATAGCCCCATTCGGCTTCACAGGCATGCTCTTGATCAAATCACAGGCCTCGCCTACCCTCCCTGCCCGTCCAAGAAGATCCACAATGCATGAAAAATGGTCCAGCGCTGGTTTCTCGCCATAAAACCCCATCAATTTGAAATAAAACCATCCTTGTTCGACTAGTCCAGCATGACGGCAAGCTGATAGAATCCCAATAAAAGTAATGGAATCGGGTTTTACCTTCTGATCCTTCATTTGTTCAAAAAGTTCAATAGCTTTTGGCGCAAGCCCGTGCTGGGCACACCCTGCAATCATCGAGTTCCAAGAAACCAAATCTTTATTCATGGTTTTCTGAAATATATAGTGAGCCTCGTCAATACCCCCACCTTTACAGTACATGGAGATAAGAGCGTTCGAAACATGAACGTGAGAATCCAAACCCATACATATTATTTGGCAATGAACAGTCTTAGCTTGACCGAAACACCCACTACCCGTGCAAGCGCTAAGCAAGAAGGTGAACGTATAATCGTTAGGCCTCAATGCAGAGCTCCTCATTTCATTGTACAGTTTCAAACAGGCATCCACCTGAAACACCTGCGAAAAAATATGGATTACTGTTGTCCACGACACTGCGTTCTTCGAAGGCATTTCCTCAAACAGTTTGCAGGCGTCCTGAGGTGAGCCACATTTCGCATAAAGCGCAACCAGAGAACTGCCCACATATACATCAGACAAAAACCTGTTTTTCAAAACCAAGCAATGGATTTGAGTTCCTAAACAAGCATCCCTTTCAGAAGAGCAAACACTCAAAGCGCTCGATAGAACACTAGGGCCAATTTTCAAGCCTTCTCTGTGGCGTCTGCATATCAAAAAATTTGATTTTTTCCCACCAAATGGGATTAAATCTTTCTGAAGACATTCCTCAATTAGGTGAAGATGGGTTCCCTTGTTATTATTGAGTTTTTTATTTGAAGCTCTGATAATATCAAGAAACCTTTGTTCTGCGCTCGGTAAACTCGTCAACTCTTTTAGAATTCGATGCATAAGGAGCTAATAATGCTGATTGAGCTGCAGCCAAGAAAGGAGAGGAAATGGTTCGGATTATTACGGAGTAATTGGTAAAATTTGCACTGACTGACTAAAATATACCCCTCATTTCAGAACGTAGGACTTAAACTTTTTTTATTCCCTAAATAGAACTTAATAATGACTAGTGAGAAGAATAATGTTCAAGTGATGCTGGACATTTAGTTGAATAATGACTAATAGATAATGACCAATGGTCCTACATTAGGAAATAAAAGCATATGGTCCTATATTGAGAAAGTCATTATGTTTTAGTCCTATTTAGATAAATTACCCTTATTAATTGTGACTTTTCCCTCAAAGACAATTTCTTATGGCAAAGGGTGGAAAATATATATTTAGTTACAATGCAAATTTAATAAAAAAAATAGTTCATTTTAAAATGTAGTTTTGAAATAATAAATTATTATTTGACGTTACGAGAATAACGGTTAGCGGAGTTGGCAGTGTGGCAGTGCTGCCACACTGCTAAACTTCGCCACCACATTGCTACCACCGCCACAATCCCAACTCTGCTGCCACAGTGCCACCACTGCCACACTGCCACCACCACCATCGCCACTGCAGTTCTAACTCCACTGGCACACTATCAACTCCACCGCCACACTACCAACTCCACCACATCACTGCCAAATTAGGATGGACAAATTAGGAAGAAAAGTTAAGACCCCACTCTTACGTAGGGATGACAACGGGTCGGGTTCGGGTCGGATAGTACTATACCCGAACCCAACCCGACTTTTAAAACCAGAACCCGAACCCGACCCGAAACCCGACTTTTTTAAGCCAAAAACCCGACCCGACCCGAACCCGACATTCCAACCCGAATCCCGAACCTGACTTTTAAATAATAATCAATTCGACGTATCCCAATAATTTTAAAAAGATTAAATCTAATTTTTTTGTGTCTCTTTTTTTGCGTCTCATTTTTTTTTATTAATGAATTATAAAATTGATTATAAAAGGCATACTTGATATAGTAGCACTTTGTTACGAGATTATATGGAGTTCTCATTATATCCATATATAGGCTTTTATGTTATAAAATATTCGGGTTCGGGTCGGGTCGGGTAACATTATAAATCCACGCCCGGCCCGACCCGATGTCAGGTTCGGGTAAAATATTTCGGGTCGGGTTCGGATTATTTTATTCTCGGTTCGGGTTCGGATATTTTAGTGGTCGGGCGGGTCGGTTAAGCTCGGCTTCGAGCTGAATTATCATCCCTACTCTTACGAAAGTAAATACTCAGACATACTCATATTTGTCTTTTATAAAATTTTTACCCATATTTATAGGTTACTCATTAGAATGAACCATTTTGAAATTTTACTCTTTTTGTTTACACCTAAACGCAGGGCAGGTCATAAAAAAAAAACCTAAGGCAAGCATTTAGGGGCAGAAGCCAAAGTAGCACACCTTACCAGCCCCCAAGCCTGCTCACCTCCCCTGACTCTTCGATCTTTGATTGTGTTGATTCCAAGCTAAGCCGCCAAGCTAAGCCGCCGGACGTCGACGATTTGTTGTTTGTCCGTCCGGCGATGACCAGTGTCCAACACTTCATCCTTTGATGCAGCGGTTGCAGCCCCCGAATAGTTTCAGCGGCGGTTCCGCCTCACCCAACCGCTCCTTTCAGTCTCCGCCTCAGCCCTCAAGAGTCAAGTTCCTTAGGTACCAACTAAGTTATCTTCTTTCACAAGTTCGATTCTTATTTACGGAGGCTTTTTTTGCTTAACATTTTCCCCATTTTTGCCTAATTTTTGCTCGCTTGTGAATCTGCAATATTTTTTCTCTCTAGAATACTCTGATAATTGCCTCATAGTTTGCCAAGTATTGATTTGCCAACCCAATATGCGCCTAATTGAGTCCTCTTCTTCACTCTCATTTTCCCCTAGGTTTTCACACATTTTATTGTTCCTTATTATAGTTACTACAAATTTTTTTATGATTATAAGTCCTGTAATTTGTAGGAGTGTGTGTTAAATGATGGTGAGTAAGAGAGGTACATTGTAGTTATGATATTTCAAATATCAAAAGGGAATGGAAATATCATTTCCCATAGGCCAAAAATGGCATTTTGGAATTCAAATTTAGGACGAGGGTTATTACTTTTAAAAGTTTATAGCTCAAATGGTGAACGAACCTTAGATGAGTGTTTAGCCACAAAATCGTGTTCATTTCGAAGGTAATGGGTGAATCTATAGATGAGCTTGAGTTTTGCTCTTTAATATCTCTTGAATTTGAAGAATATTAATCCGTAAAAATAGAACAAAGTCACAACCATCACCATTGCTAAATTTAAATGATTATATAATATGAAGGCATATTTTCTCATATATGATATGATTCACGATAGTTCTTACATTCGTGTACCTATATATTGCAAATTAAGTATGTATTACTTGTACATGTTTTGTTCTACTTAATAAGGAAACATAGTAAGGACATGTTGACTAGGTGATGAACCTCAATAATAATAATAAGGACATGTTACTATAATAGGTCTATTATTACTAGGTGATGAACCTATAATAATAATAACAACAACAACTATTCTACTACCTTCAAAAAAAATTACACATTTTGACTATAAATTGTGAGAAAAGTATATTGAATTAAAATAATAATGATTTGCCCTCATTAGTATTATTAGCTTCTAAAGGGGTCACCATCCTAAAATTGCTCTTGGTCAAGCACGCTTAACTTTGGAGTTTCTAGGTAATGAGCTTTCGAAAAGAAGATGCACCTTGTTGGTATGAGTAGTACTATCAATCCTTCTGAACCTTTTTATTTCCCCGATCCATTTTTTTTCAAATCAAGGTATTACATTTCAAAGGTGATGAACCTAATGAGGAAACTTAGTAAGGACATATAAACTTAATGAGCAAACATAGTAAGGACATGTTTTGTTGATTTGTTCTACTTAATTTTAATTAGAGATTGACAGGTTGATGATGAAAATGATAAATAATAATAATGACAACAACAAATATTCTACTACCTTCAACCACTTGATCAATGCTTTTGACTTCGTTTGGATTTTAGACACTACAAAATACGGTGATAAATTAATGTCACTAGTATTATTATAATTTTTGAAAATTAAAATATGAGTACAAACACAGAGAATTTAAAACTTACCTATTTCTCTTGACCTTGAGAACCACAAGCTCGCTCCACCCACGAAATCCATCACAAAACTAGCTGTAACCTAATAGTACAATAATGAATTGCCAATCCTGCTCTTACTCGCGTCATTCTTCAGCTTACCTTTAAAATTAGATGCATAGCTCTGAGAAGGTCCTGGAATCTTCCTGTTAATGCTAACTACACAAGATCTTATAATTCTCAAGTATGAATTCCTATTGAATGGTGTCCTCTTTGCTGCCATATTTAAGTATTGAGTGATAAGAATTGCGGTGAACAAGAAACACCAATAATAAACATGAAGTATCATGCAACTTGGCGGGGTCGATCTGGGCCTTCTCCATTGTCTCGGCCATTTTTAGGGTTTTGCTCGTCGTCATTGTGGGTGTCGTTTGCTTGTCGTTCCCTATCCTTACTTTATGCTCTGTATTTCATCAATCTTCCAATTATCCAATCTTTTGTTTTTAAACCCCGCATTTTAATTATTTAGGGGTTCTACTCGGACTCTATTTTATTTGTTTGTGGGTGTCGTTTGCTTGTCATTCCCTATCCTTACTTTATGCTCCGTATTTCATCAATCTTTCAATTTTCCAATCTTTTGTTTTTAAACCCCACATTGTAATTATTTAGGGGTTCTACTCGGACTCTATTTTAAACTAGAATTTGTACTCGTGCACAGACAAAATATGTACCAAAATTTAAAGTATTTATATATTAAGAACTTTTTTTAGTGGGGAGAGAAATTTGCTTATTAAGTCACCGGACGTCGAGGATTTTTTGTTTGTGTGTCCGGTGATGACGAGTGTCCAACACTTCATCCTTTGAAGCAGCGGTTGTAGCACATGAATAGTTTTAGCTGCGGTTCGGCCTCACCCAATCGCTCCTCTCAGTCTCCGCCTAGCCCTTTAGAGTCAAGCTCCTTAGGTACCAACCAAATTATGTTCTTTTATAAATTCAATTCTTATTTACGAATTTGGGTGGCTTTTTGCTTAATAGTTTCCCCATTTTTGCCTAATTTTTGCTTGGTTGTGACTTGTGAGTAGTGAATTTGCAAGTTTTTTTCTCTAGAATACTGGTAGTTGCCTCAAAGTTTGCCAAGTATTGATTTGCCAATTTTCGCCCAGTATGCCTAATCCAGTCCTCTTTACTCCAATTTTTCCTAAATTTTCACACATTTTATTATTATTATTATAGTTACCACATATTTTTTTTTATGATTATAATTCCTCTAATTTGTAGGGGTGTGTGTTAAATGATGGTGAGTAAGAGAGGTACATTGTAGTTATGATATTTCAAATCTATATGATTCACCATAGTTCTTACATCCGCGTACCTATATATTTCAAATTAAATACGTATTACTCGTACATAACATTCATCATCTCTTTGCATGTATATATAGACAATATGTACTATTTCTTTCGTGCTTATTTTAAAACACTTCTCGTAGCACTCTCGCAATCCCAATCACATTAATCCACTTGAGTTTTCGGATCAAGACAAAAATAAAAACAATAAGTAGCAGTTTAAGGGTATATTTCTCTAATCAATCAATCGATAATCACAATGATGATGGGAAATATGACGATAACATCATGGCTCCAATGTTTGAAGATGAAACCGTTGGTGCGATGAGTTCTTCTTCATCATTATTCGTGCTTCTCTGATCCCAGATCAGGAAGCTATCATGGCATTGTTGTGCTTGTGCATCGACTCCCCAACCACTTAAGAATTTCTCACGTGCCACCACCATATCATCCACTACTAACAACGGTAGATTATTAGAATCAATATTGAAAGGGGGAAGCTCTTCTTGCTCCCATAATGCTGGCATTGAATCTTGAAACGAGTGATCTTCGACTTGATTATTGTTAGTCATATAGTCCCTCGTGTAAACCACTTCGGTTGATGAGGTATTATTATTATTATTATTATTATTATATACGTCGAATGAAAATTGAGGGTTATCCTCCCTACTACTATCGTTGCTAGTGGGAAATGCGTATACAGGATGTGGCTTTGTGACAAAATAGTCTTTTTGGTCACTCAAGAAATAGTTTACTTGGTTTGCATTATTGAAAGGAAGTTGTGGCTCAGGAAGAGGTCGCTCCATTACATGAGGGGTTTCGTTTGCTTGAGGCGTTGGCGATAATGAAGCCGTTGGAGCCTTTTTTAGCTTCTTCTTTATCCACGAATTCCAATAGTTCTTTATCTCGTTGTCTGTTCTCCCTGGCAAATGACTTGCAATGTGTGCCCATCTGCAGGTTTAAGATAATTTTTCAATTGAATATATAAAATATTAATTCTAATTAAGAAACTTGATGAGAAAAAAAGAAGTGATTACATTTTAGATAACATATCAGAGATCTTAACTAATGATTCAAGGCGCTTGCATCACTTGGTTGTTGATGTGATATTCACCAAAAGGAGAAAGGTGGTTTCTTCTTCCTAATTAAGAAGTAAACATATATGGTTCATGCTAACTATATTTTGAAAATCATATACTCCCTCCGTCCCAAAAAGTCTTTCCTGTTTACTATTACGGCCTCTCGATAACTCTTATTTGTTTGCGTGTTTTCATTGATCATTTGATAAAATAAAATATTCTTGTCACCTCTTATTTTGTAGAGTTTTCGATGAAGTTTTTAAATATAATTTTTTTTATGTGTTATTTCCTTACCAATTTGTAAATAAAATCATTTTAAAATCTATGAGATTTTGCACGTTAATCAAAGTAGGAAATTCTTTTTGGGACGGAGGGAGTATGAAATACTACCACAGTCTTTGATAATTTGTCCATTTTTAATTTTTTGTAGTCAATCATTTTTAACCTTTGACCCATAGTTAAATAAAATTTGAAATAAATTGTTAAATTTTTTTTGAAATAAAAATTTTAGATTTAATAATGATGCACACTTATTAACATTTAAACAAATTTTTATTTTTGAAGAGTACTATAAGGGAAAATCGTGAATAGTTTTGAAAAAATTATAAAGATTTATTTTTTTGAAAAATAATAAAATTTATATAACCTTATTTTTAAAATGATAAAGTAAATGGTGAAATGTGTATTGGTATAGTACTACAAAAATGAAATTTTTATATAAAATCAATGATTTAGAATTAAAATTTATATATATGAAAGAAATGGTGGCCAAATAGTTTAATTAAAATTTTATATAAAATTACTTTTTAAATTAATAAAGTTTGCATAAGTTTTTTTTTATAAAAAAAACACAATTAAGCATCACGGGATGTATTTTCCTGATGAGAATTGAGATGTATTCAGTGTTTTGATGAATGTGACTATCACTATCTTTTGAGCTTGTAATTAATAGTTGTGATTTTTTATTTTAGTACGAAGAGAGTAATATTTTGTATATCCAGTTTTATGATGAAAATGGTTCATTTTCTTTTACTAAAATAATTGTGTACATGATATTATGGCCGTGTTTGAAAAACAGCTTTCCAGATTGCTTTTGGCATCTTTGACTGACTTTGGCTTTCTTGATTAAGCGAACAATCAAAACCATTGTTTGGCTAATAGTTTTTTCACTTGGCATTTTGATCCGAAAAGCCAAAATCAGAAATGCCAAGGAGAGTAGCATTTGGACTTGGCTGTTAGGAAAATTAATTTTTTTAAAATCATTTTTGTTGAAAGATATTTTATAATAAATGTAAAAAATAAAAATAAAAATAAAACTTAAAAACATTAAATACTAAATAAAATAAAATTTAAAAATTTAAAAATTTCACATAAATGTTAATCATATGCATATAATTTTATATTTTGTAATTTTCATGCAAAACATACTTCGTAAATGAAAAGAATAAAAATAAACAGAGAGACAAAGGGAGTACCCGGCGGATTGGTGTACTACATCCGTTCAATTTAAATTGTTTGTTCAGTATTCACAGAGTTAAACTTCATTCAATTTTTATATTTATTTTTGCTATTCATCTGATAGAATAATATGTTAATGTCCCCTCTCTTTTCGTAATATTTTGATGTAGTTTTTAAGTATGTAATTTTTAATTTTTAATTTCATCCCAATTTTTAAAAGATTGAACCGAAAATAAATTCAATCAAATATCATAATTGATACAAATGATTAAATTTGCAACCAAGATAGTACGAAGTACAGAGTACTATTTAACCAATCATTCCAAAGCTACTATTTAAGTTTGACTTTTTTTTTTATCAAAGTGTAATATGTACTCCGTAATATACTCTGATCACAAATTAAATAAAATTATTATAAATAAATATTATAAAAATTTTGATATTTTAAAATTGTATCTAAAATTGAACATAATTTTATTAAATGTAATTACAACTAAATATTTTTTTGATAATTTATGGTCGAGGTTTATAAAATTTAATTCAAAAGTCAAATTGTAAGTGACATGAGTAATAGTTTAAAAAATACTCGGTAATAATTTAAAGGAAAATGCTAAAACCCCCCACCATTGCTACCAACCATGCCCCCCTACATAAACATGTGGTAGGGAGGCAAGAAAATTAAAATTAGAGGGTGGGTGGAGAATGGGTAGAGATAAATATGTGGTGGAGAAGTGGGTAGAGGCAAGGTTGGTAACAAGGGTGGGATGTGTGTAGCACGGTCCTAATTTAAAACGTCGTTCTATCTATCGTGTCGAGGTGGCATGGAGCTCTTTTACGGAGTATAAGTCTTGAATTGAATATATTTTTCAATTTTGACTATTCATAGTGAAAATTGATAAGTTTTGATCGTTAATTAGAAAAAAAATATATTAGGTATTGGTACGAGAATAATTTTTAAAATTTAGCTTATAAATTATTTTCAAAATATGATTTTATTTAATTAATATACCATGTAATGTTTATTTAATTATAGGTCAACTATCGATTCCGGTTAATTGTAAAAAGTAAAAACAAAACAAATGCTCTAGAACAATTTTATTTGTTATTTGTTACTTAGTTTAATCTATCCCTGTCAAGTTATTGTCCAGGAGATCCTAAAAAAAGTCTAGATATAGTTCATCCTTTTAAAGTAAAAATAATTAAAAACGTAATATGCAAGTCTAAGTTGGTCTTAATTAGAAATGAAAGAAACCTAAACTGACCATCAAGTCGTGAAACACATCATTATTGTATTGCTTTGCTTAATTAAGGTTGCTTTCAAGCTTAAACATCATAGTATGTAGCTCTTCATTTGACATAATCACCATATCAATTATCTTATCGTTGTTTAAACTCTTCCCCTATGAATTAAATTATCTTTTTTCTTTCACCAATTAAAAAAGTGAAATTTGTACTAAATAGGACTAAAACATAAGTCATTCCCAATGTAGGACTTAAACTTTTTAATTCCCTAAATAAACTTTATAATGTCTAGTGAATGGAATAATGTCCAGTGATGGTGGACATTTACTTGAATAATGACTAATGGATAATGACCAATGGTCCAAATTGGGAAATAAAAATATATGGTCACATATTGAGAAAGTCATTATGTTTTTAATCTTATTTAGATAAGTTTCCCGTAAAAAAAAGAAATACTTCCTCCATCTCATAACATGATCAAACAATAACTCTTTTCATCACATATTTTATTGATCGTTTAACAAAATAAAATAGATATATATGTCGTATTTGACTCTATAGAACATTAGATGTCGTTTTAAAATATGTAGGTTTGATTTTTAAAATTATACCAATATTTATATACTCCCTCCGTCCGGTATTAAAATTTACGTTTTGACTTTTGGTCATTTTTAAGGGAGGTTGACTAACCATGTGAAATGACCAAAAATGCCCCTTTCCAATCTCCTCCTGATCGACTGCTCAAAATCAGAGAACCCTATGAACCAAAAAGACCAGGTTTCTCTCCCCCCTCAAATCATTCCTCATCACCCAAAACCGCCGCCCACATCTCGTCCTCAATCGTCCGTCCTCAATCGTCCGTCCGCACCACCAATTCGAGAAGCAAAAGCTTTGATTTGGCAATCTGGATCGAGTAGTTGGCCTTGCTCTGGTCATCGGAGAGCGTGGCCGACTCCATTGACCGCAGGATTTCATCGATGGCACGCAAGTACAGGTCGGCCTCTTTCCGGTCACCGCCGAAGATCATCTTCTCTCTGGCGGCTTCAGACGCAGTGGAGTCCCACCGGAGGATTATCTGATTCGCGAAATCGTAAGATGCGGGTAGGGGGAGGGGAAAAACAGATGAAGGTCGGGAGAAAGAAAAGAAGAATGAAAAGCAAGAAGAAGAAGAGGATGGACGGGGAGAGAGGATTGAAAAGGTATAGATCTGGCGGATGGGAGAAAGAAAAAGGAGAGAAGGGGAACGAAGGAAGGAGAGGAGGAAGGGGAGAGGCAGAGAGAAATTGAAATGGTAGAGAAGGGTATTTTTGGAAGAGTGTGGGTTAAAATTAGAAATGTAAACTTTATTTTCGGACGGAGAAAAAGGAGAAACGTAAACTTTATTTCCGGACGGAGGGAGTATGTTGAATTATAGTTAATCCAGTCAAAGTCGAACCTTTTTATGAGCCGGAGAGAGATACTACCTCTGTACTAGAGTATATATCTAGTTTTGATCTAATTTTGACTTTTTGCAGTCAAAATTGATAAACTTTGACTATTAAATTATTGTTCAAAAGTCAACCACACGGTTGACCGCAAAAAATTAAGATTAAACAAAAATACTCTGGGATGGAAGGAATATTAGTTAATTACAGTGTCCTAAAATTACATACTCCATATATGAATATTGTTGATATAAATTAATGACAAACTCAATCTTCCTAAGGTTTTACTTGACATTATTGAAAATGAGCAACTAAATTTGGAGGAATGTAGTAATTTTACGGAGTAAAAGCCAGTTTCATCGCTAGTGGCATCGTTGTCCAGTGACAACAGAAACTTGCTGAACTAATTGCCATATGAAAACTTGAGTAGTGAAAAACTTTAATATCCTAGCAAAAGTAATTAATTAAGTAATTAATATATAAATACCTGTTACCAACAAGGGCATGAAGGTTAATGATCAACTTTTCTTCATCAAGGGAGAATCTGCCCCTCCTAATATCAGGCCTGAGATAGTTAATCCACCTGAGCCTGCAACTCTTGCCACACCTCTGAAGGCCAGCTTTCTCAGGAACTTCACTCCAGCAGCCATAGCCATGAACACTTATGTACCTTATCAGCTTTTCATCTTCTTCTGGCGACCATAGCCCCCTCCTCACCTTTTGCTGGTTGCAACATGTATGCTGTCCCATTCTTAGCAATTAATCAATTAAGTAATTAATTAACACTTTGTGTCTGTTTTTTATTTATTATTATTATTATTATTATTATTAATGTTTAATTAGTTATTTGCTTGTGGTAGCTGGCTGGCTAGCTTTTCCTATATGTGGAATACTTCATCATTCAACTTCTCTTTCCTATAAATATATATACTCCCCCCGGGCCTCAAGTTCTAAGAGGGCGTTTGTGAGTGCTTTTAAAAATGATTTCTACCTTTTAATCCGTTGCAAAATAATGTTTGAGAAAATATGATTTTTGATTTTTTTCCAGAGATGGAAAAATAAAAACTGGGAATTGAAGGTACTTTGAGTTTCTGTGGTTAAAATAATCACTTTTTTTATAAATGATTTGAGCACTTTGATGTACTTTTTAAATACTCGGTATATAATTTGTAATTTTAATCTCTATATCTATTTGTAAACAAATATGTTCTAAAAAAAATTCTCCCTTCGTTCCAAAGAGATTGCCACATTACGCAAATGCAGTGACATTTATATTTTTTTCAATTTATTTTCTAAAGATTTGTAGATAAATAAAAAAATAAAACTTATATATTTAAAAACTATGTAAAAAATTCTACAAAATAAGAGGTAACAATAATATTTTATTTTATCAAATAATAAATAAAAACATACAAATAAATAAAAGTTACTGTGATTTTTAAATATTAAAAACAAAGGAATTATGATTTTTCATGTTGCTTAAAGTGAGGCTACAATTTTGGCGCGGAGGGAATAGTAAAATGTATGAATGGAATTTATTTAGTAATCAAAATTAAAAAATTTGTAAGTCATTTAATCTTTTTCTTTTTCAAAAAATAAAAAATTCATTCTAACTAAACTATAAAAGGAATTTAAAATTAGTTTTTAAAAATTTATTTTTTTTCGAACTAATATTATGGAGTACAAGAAATAGCCGACATATAAGGGCCCGATGTGATATTAACCTTAAAACGACACTCCATCAACTTTTTCTTTTTTCTTTTTTCTATCATAGATGACCTTTCTTTCCTTTTCAAGTTCAAAAGGCTTTGGTCGTCGAGATAAAGTAGAGATTTACTTTTTTGGTCCAAAAAGTTTCGAATAGTTTAGTTTGAAACTTTCCTCGTTTACATAATCCTGAAATAAGCTTTTTTTTTTCTAAAAGTATCTCAACTTTAGACGTTGTAACAAAAAGTTATCTCATCTTTCGTTTGTAACAAAATATACTTCATCTTTTAAAAATGTAATAAAATGGAGCTCATTGGACGGAATTGTAATAATCCGATCCGACGAATCAATGCCCAGTTGATATTCCTATTGACTTTTCTCTACTCCTGCGTGTTTATACGATAAACATCATAAAGTCGAGGGAGCATTTTACATGGTCGCAGTAAACATCTTAAATAGGAAAATTTTACTCCCTCCCTCCCTATAACGTCATCTTAAACATTTTACAAGTTTAAGATGATAACATTTTTTTTATCATAATCCAAATAAGAAAGAAAGAAGATAATTATGATACGAAAGATGTATAGTTTACATGGTCGCAGTAAACATTTTATAGTCGATTTATGACTTTGTTCAATTCGTGAATGTGTCTCGTGCTGCGTTTGCTATATCCCCTACAATGTTTTAATTAGTTGACATCCATATAGTTTTATGAAGACTTTATCAACTACACAATTTTCTTTCTCAAATCGGACACATAATCTGTCCGGTCTAAACCTCAAACCGTACACGTAATCGGTCCGGTTTAAACCTTCAAAAATCCTTTAAAAAAACTCATATTAGACCGGATTGACAAGGAGAAAATCAGAAAAACCCAGAAAGTTCGATGGTCGTCGGTCTTGGTCCTAAATCATTGATTCTATATTCTCACACCAAAGAACGAGTCATTTCTTTTGAAGAAAGAATTAATCAAAGAGTTGTGATAGAATTTGGGATGGGTATGAACAACTGGATTGGGCAATAAGACACTTGGGTTAAACCGTATTAAAAGATTGAATCCAATCAATTAGTTAGTTCAACTCAAGAGCTCATATACCGGTTTATTTTCTCTTCAAGTTTCGATGTGGGATAGCTTTCAACAAGTTGTGTAGCTCAAATCATTTTTCTCTTTTTTGGTGTGTGAAAGTAAAAGTGGAAATCTTTTATCTTTATATAAGAGGTGGAGGAGTATAACTTAAGTTTAATTAAATTGTGTTTTTGCTTTGCAACTGCGGTCTCGTACCCCTTCCCCACAAATATATTGCATGGCATGTCTTTCGCCATCCATCTTTTTTTCTTTATCAAGTCAGCCACCGAAAAATATAAAGATTTTCTGCAGAAAATCATATTGGCCACTAAAGAAGAAATTAAAGGGTTGTTGAGTATGGCTCTCTCACACAATTACACGTAGCTAGTCTCCATCACTTCAACTCGCCTAAACTGAATATATATAATTAATTAATATCCCATTCCCCTGCTTTTTACTCTCTCTGTACGTCATAGATCTTTCCAGATACTATACACAGAGTCAAACTTAATTTATTTTGCTTGCTTATTTTTACTACTTGTTTCATTATACTCCCTCCGTCCCAAAAAAGTTTGTTACGTTTAGAAAAAACTGCGTTCCATAAAGTCCGTTACATTTCTATTTAAAAACCACTTTTACCCCTACTTTTTCATACCCTACCTATCACATCATACTTTTTTTCTAATAATTCACGCATCACATCCTACTTTTACCCATCACATCAAGAGTATTTTTGGAAAGTCAATGCCAAAATATCCCTCCCTTAATTTCCCAAAAAGTCAAACCGTCCCATTCTTTTTGGGACGGAGGGAGTATAAAATAGTCTTATCACATCTAGTTTTGTGCGAGTAGAACTTTTCATGTAGTTTTTTACTATACAAATTTTTATTCTTAAATTTTATCACTATAATCAAATAAATTGAATTGAAAATAAAGTCGGTCAAGCCTCCCGTAACGCGTAATGAGAAAATCTTAGGTGGACGGAGGAAGTATCATCCTATTTCGAATAATATACAAAATCAAATTTTTTAAATTTTCTTTTTTTTTTATCAATAAATAGTACAAATTAGATGGTTTTAAACTAAAAAAAATATTTTATCTTATCAAATAATTAATGAAAACATGCAAATAACATAAGTTATCCAGCTGAGAAACGGAAAAAATGGAGGGAGGGAGTATGAATTAGAGTGACATGGACGGTCACATGATGACAACATATTACTCCCTCCGTCCTACTATATTCGTCCACTTTTGACTTTTGAAACTGTTCATCTAAGCATTTTGACTCATCAAATTCTCTCAATGTGTAAGCCTAAATATAGTCATGTGTGATCTTGTTTGATTTGTCTTAACATATAAATTATTAATATATAATTTCTATAATTTTTTAATATACAAATTACAAGATAAAAATGGATTAAAGAAGTGTATTGGATGATGTGTAAAAATGAAAGTGGACAAATATTATGGGACGGAGGTAGTAATTATTAAGTGACGTATACAGATAATGAAGATGTAGCTTCAATGGAAAAATAACACTAAGGCTATGTTTGGAAAATAGGCTGTTGGCTGTTGGTTGTTAGTGTTACTGATTGGGATAGCTGATTGAGTTAGCTGTTTTGACATCATCTATAAATGTGACAACATATTTATTGTTTCATATAGATGGAGTTGCATAAAAGTCACACAAGTCACTATGCACAAGCTCAAACATTTTAGAATCTTTTTTCTTTCCTCAAAAGGTTTCCTTGTTATCTTGATTCTTGGTTAGTATACATGTCTTACATCTCTCTTGATTTGTGTCAAACATGTGTATTAAGCTACTTTTCGACATATCTTGCAATATTTAATTTTGTAATGCACATGTCCTAGCCGAGCATGTCAAAGAAAATATTAGCGTTGGTCTAGTTTATACGGAGTATTTTTGTCCCGGCCTTTAAGTTTTGTTTCTCTGCGTTGGAAAAGTTAACTTCTTATTTTTTCTAACTATTTCCAGTTCCTATGAACTTTTTCCAGTTTCTTCTAATTCTCATTCCTTTTATTTTCTTCCAACAACTTTAAAAAATATTTACAAATGATGAATATATAATAACATCATATATTCAAATTTATAACATACCATATCAAACACAGAAAAAGATAAATTCTATTTTTATCCAAAATTGTTTTTTTAAATATTAATTTGGGAGGTCATTTTATTGAGTGATTTTTAACACTTTATTTTTTTATCACTTTCCAAATTTTTAAACTTTTTTCCAATTCCTTTCGGTTTTTTTAATGTCTTCCTGTTTCTTCCTACCCATTCCAGTTTCTTCCAACATCCAATTTTAAAATTTCAACCAAAAAGAACCACCCCTAAATTTTATTTGCTAAATTTGAAGTATTTTATAAAGTGAACTAAATTAGGGTAAAAAGGTAGTATTAAACAATTTTTTATATCAAGAGGGAGTAGTTCATTGAGCTGATGCTAAATTCCTAATCTTATACAGTATTCAGTCTTTGACAATTCAGACTTTGAAAAATCAAAAATCAAATAATTTGAGTGAAATAAACATATAATGAAAAGCTTTATGGTGTCTTATCTTCTCTATTATCTTTTCAATCCCAATCAAATTAAGGAATGGTTAATCCCCTAAACCCGATTAAGGGGTCCTCAATGCCTCAACTACCTTCGGATTATGAGCAGAAATGAGGATTAGGCAGCTAATTGTGTTCGAAAAGACGTTGGTCTATAATTAAGTTAATTACTCCTGAATGGAATCTCTCCTCCGCCAATAAGGTACTCTCATCAGACAATGGCCCCTCTTCTTATTCGATTTGAAAAATGATAGCAGGACAGTAAGGGGCTGTTTGACAACTTCTGAATGGGTAAGTGCTGAACCAGTAAGAAGTCTGAACCATTAAGAGCTAGTATATTGCTTAACTATTCAGAGGCAAATGTCTGATCAATTCAAATAAGAGGTCTTAACCATTCAGACTCTGTATAATACTTAACCATTCAGAAGCAAATCTCTTAACCATTCAGACATCTGAATCATTAAGAGGCTGAAACAAACAGTCTGAACCATTAAGTGCTGAACCATTCAGACATCTGAACCATT